TTCAGTTAATATTATACATTCTAAGTCAATTGATTTTCTTGAAATTTTTGTGAATACATTCTTTTTTTAGCAAACAGTATTCCTTGCTACGGTGAATATTGCAGCACTCAACATGGGGTGTAAACAGCTCTTTGGTAGGGTACAGAGTTCTCTGAGATGGCTCTTGCTTTAATGCAGCACATTGAATACTATCAGAGTGTCAAGAGTGCCACGAATGAATGAATGAAAAATCCCAGATGCTTAATAAGCCCAGCAATCAATGGTAACATACAAAAGGCTCTCTTCTTTCTGCTTCATTATGAGCGCTATTTCCCTACAAACAGTCTGTTCTTAATAACAAAAGTTTACCAACAAACATATTTCTTTGAGTTCCACCGAAGTTCACTGAATGAAAAGCAGGCTTTTCTCTTTAACAAAGACACTGGATCCCACAAAGGACACGGAAAAGAGCCGCTATTTGTCTGGAGCCTTTATTTACAAGTGGAAGCTGCCAGCAGCCATCAATTAAAAGTTCAGACATCTAATAATAGCTTAAGCTCAGCCAGAAAGAGTAGTGGATTGTGGATGCAAAACTAATGAGACACAATTGGCTGTTTTTAAAGTCAGTTTGCAAATGATGCCGTTTTAGTAAGATTTTTAAAAATCTCAACACCAGTAGGCTGTTAATACTGTCATTTCACTTGTAGTCATTAGAATAGTTTCCAAAACCTTAAAATTGATTTAATGAAGATATTTTTCTCCTCATCCAGTGTTAAATAATGCTTATGAGGTATTCCCTTTTAAATGTCATTTTAAAACATACTATTGTTTAAAACGGAATACAACAGAAATTTACTCAAGAGGGCTAGTGAAGCCAAACCTTCCTACCCTATCCAATCTCCTCCTTCTCCTCTTACCCCCACAAGAGCGCGCATCTACAACCTTCCCCCATTTTAAAGAAGGATAACATTCCCAGAGAAATGGTGGACTGTAGGATTTGCGGGGAGGGGAAGGTAAGTATGGGGAGCAAAGGAGAGAAAGAGATTATTTCCCAAATTAGGAGAATTGGTCGACGTACCCTAAAAGACTGATCTTTCCTGTGTAATTTGAGTAAGGTGAATAGATACTACTTGGTGACGATACCAGTTTTATTGTCTCCGATTGGCAAATAAGAAAAAAGATTGACAGTATCGAGTGAAGGGAATGTAGGGGGCGGGCTGCAATGTTAATGGGAAGGATAACCAAGGGCTGGAGCTCATTGATGACGCGGCCCTCACGTGACCAGCAGTCGACGTGTGCAGAAGTCCTTATAGTCCAGGCCCAGTTCTTCAGTAGCAGCTCAGTCCTGCAAGAGAAGAGTAGCTCCGCTCCTTCCAGGTACTTTCATAGTGGGTGCTGGCTCAGAGACCATGGGGTGGAGGGGGCAGAGATCGGAAAGCACACTTATCCCGCACTATTTCCCTTATCCTAGGGTTCTGCTAAACTATTTTGTGCGAGAGGTTTGGGGCTGCTTGGTGAGGGATGGGACAGACTGGGAGGGAGGTAGCTAATGAGTTGAGTAGGGCAGAGAGAAAGAAAAGAGGGGGAAAGACAAAATACGAGAGACGGAGAGAAGAAACAATAACAATGTGGGAAAAACTTGTCTCAGTCTTTACTCTCTTGCTGGGAAACGGAAGGTACAGATGAAGGCGGGGCTGTCACAAAAGGAGGGAGAAGAGGGGGACGTGGAAAAACTTTGTGCCATCAAGGCTTATGTTCGTAAAAGAGACATTTTGATCCAGGCACTGGCGTGCTCACCAACCACTCCTGTCTTTCTTCAGGACTCTTTTGGGCGCGACATAAGTCGAGGTGCAAGAAGAGAGGAAAATCTTCAGATACCTACAGGTC